AAGGTGGTAGCTCTCAACCACTTCATAATTTGGTTGGTGTGAGCATGCATCTGAACATTTAACATACTCTTTCTGCACTAGGATGGTGTCAAAAGAGGGACTCATTCCTGCCTTTGAAATTAATCAAACAAAATCTTCTACTTTATTTCTTTTGTCAACATTTTTATGTTATTGCTTTCCATGCTTTATCTTTTTTACTTGCCATATCTGCGTCAACCATGACTATGAAACTTCAACTTATTTTAATTCTTCCATTTACATCAATCCAATGATGACCCAATGGTACCCTTTCCTCTTCCTTCTACCTTCATCTTGGAAAATATATATGGCACCCACTGGAACAATCTATTTATCTCGTGTGATCATAGCACTATCAGATTTTATGATATGAAAGGTAATTAATCTTGTCAACTTAAGATCATACACTGCACCATAATGTAAATTTTTTTTTATATGACAAAAACATTATTAACCAAGAGTACGATCACTAAAAAAAAATCCGGTAGATAAATTTTACATATGAATTATAATTAAAAGAATTATAATTGATATAATTTGAACTAATACTTTATACTTGAAAACTGATACTGACAACTACTAAATTATTAATATTTTTTTTAACAATCTATTCGTATAAATATATAAATCTATAAATATATATATATATATATATATATATATATATATATATATATTTCTTTGAATTTTTTAATCTGATAATAATTCAAACATATAAAAGTATAATAAATAATAAAAATATAATATAAAGGGGAGAAAATTCTAGATAATAATAAAAAGTAAATAAGGGTTATAATAAAAAAAATATTTTATTTAAACAATTACATTATAATCCGTAGGTAAAATAATATTTTTAATAGGTAATTTTTGCCTGTACATAATAGGTTTTTTTTTTGGATGAGTTTTAATCATACTTTATTATACTAAACATTAAATGTTCTAAAGAAATACACCTTTTTCTGATCTTGACAAAGTACACCTTTTCTTAAAAAATAACTTGATTATATAGAAGCATGTCAATTTCTGTCCCTACTTTACTTTCACTTAGTTTTTGTTGCCACATAATCAGCATACATCCCTATTTCTAAACCATAGTTTACTATGCTATTAGTGTTGTTTATATAACCAGGTTGGGATGGATATTAACTCAGCTTGATGAGACTTTACTCTGTTGTAATTAACCACTGAGTTAGAAGTGGATGTTTTATGATATCTATTTTAGAATCAATATTAATGTAAATATTTCAATGCATGTTATCTAAAATATATCTATTTAACTAACATATTGATTATTTAGCATAATTTTTTTAAGTTAAAATTTATTTTTATGTAATTAATTAAATTTATAATTAATAAAAATATTTTGATGTATAAATTATATTAAATTAAATAAATTAAAATAAATATATTTACATTATAAATTGTGTTTTAAATTTCTATAACAATTATTGTTTGTACAGGTTAATTATTGATAATTTATTTATTTTTTTAGAAAAAAAAACTCTTACAATTAATTTAAAAATAGAGATAGATTAAAATCAATAGATTATCAAGAAGAACATGTTATATATATATATATATATATATATATATAAAATATGATATGATTAAAGGAGAATTATACAGTATTTGCATTTGGCAAAGCATGTGTAAAAGGCACTTGCAAAGAAGAGGAGACATATAATAATGTTTAATTAAGAATGTAGTGTGGATTAAATTTGTCTTCTAATTTATGATGTGTAAATATATTAATTAGATTATGAATTAATATAAAATGTGAATGGAATTTACTTTTGAATGAATCTCATCGTAATTTTATTTTTTTAAAAGAGAGAGTAAAATGTGAGTAATTAAGAAAGCAACTTTAATTTAAGAAGTAAAGAAAAATAGTGCTTGGGGAAAGAGACAAATTAAAGTGTGTTCTTGTGAAATTGAGGTTAGGTATTTCAGCTTGAGAAACCTAACAAAGTTTTTGTTTGCCATTGCTTTGTTTATGTGAAGTCACAGGAATATTCCTTGAGAGAATAATGAAGGGAAGGTAGATTAATATTTAGAAAGAATCCACCAAACAAACACTTATGCAATATATGTACACCGTACCCTTTGTGTATATGTTGTTTGTGGAATTTTTAAAGAACATAAGGGTCACTTGACCTTAGATCCACTCAAGGGACAGATTGATTCTGACTCTTTCCGACTCTAATCTTGCCTAAAAGAGAAAATCTCTTATAACCATCTTCATCTTCTAATCATCCAAGTCATACAATCAACAATTCATAAAATTATAACACCATCGACATATCAAACGATTTATAGTTTTTTAGTCCAACACGTGGTTCAATCAGTCATAAAATAACGACTCCTTCACGTTAAATGATTGAGAGATCTCGTGTATGATCTCAACGTATATCTAAAGAAAATGGCTGTCAGTTTTGTTAATCCACCATTAAAAGCAGGTTAAATTATATATGCCAAATTAATACCACTGTCAAGCTAATTGTTTGTTGTGTTGTGGGTGATGGGAACCTTATGAATATGGTTCCATTTCTGAGTCTTACCTAGAAGAAGAAGATAATGTAAATTAAAAGGGAGAATATACTAGGTATGACATTGGATGAATAGGTATTGATAATTTTAAAAATATATTCCTCTTTTTGTGGTGGAATATTCCTGATGGGGACCATATACATAGGTGACTTTGACGACAATCCTCGTATGTATACATGTTTTTTTTTTCTCCCTTCAACTCGTATATGATGAAACCATGTATGCGTTGAAGCAATAAACTATAAAAAGAAGCCTCCAATTGCACCTTTTCTTGTCTGTTTATTTTGTTTGTTTACTAATCTGGGTAGCTGCGTGATTAATATATAATATTAATAGAGTCTTGTTGGTGCATCAATATATAATTCTCAAACTTTCCATTTTTTATATGAAAAATAATCGCAGATCACCGCCATGCAAATAATAACAATATCAAGTTAATTAATGCAGGATATAGTTTAGAGTCTTTAGACCTTAGTTTTTCTTGCTTCACAAATGGTGCGGATCCATAAATTGTTTTCTTTTTCTTAACCCTAAAATCATGTTCTACGCGAATATCGGGTATGTAAGGTGCTGATTGGATGATACTCGAAAAAATATTTTTTTAAACAATATATACATTTGTGTACCCTTTGTATCATGTATGGATCACTGTTTTTAATTCAATATATCATTTATGGATCATAATTTCAAATAAAATTATTTTTTTAGTTTAACAAATAATTTTTTTAAGGGCATTTGGGCATATCACAAAATAATATTTGAAACTAAAATTAGTAAAACTAAAAGAAATTAGTTTTCACTTGCTGAACAGAGGATATCCATGACCCATAAGAAAATAAATGCGAATATAAATTGGGCAACAGAGTGATGTACATTATTCTTATAAGTTTGGATGCTTAAAAACTCGTTAGATTGTGGTTTTGGTTAATCTCTGTTTGTTATATATTTCAAGTTAACTTCAATTAATTGATTAGCAGAATAGAAAAAGAATCGATTACTTTTATCCATGTGATTAGAGGGAATATTATTGAGTATCCACACCTAACTCGCAATATAATTAGAGAGGTTGGGTGATTGAAAGCTGACTTTTTGTGTGCTTGTGTATGTGCGTGTACATTTCTTGTGCTTTTAAGGTCATTTTGCATAAAGTAACATATGTAAGGTGATTACAGAGGCAATGCAAAGGGTGCTAATATAGAAAAAAGGGGAAAAGAGAGGAGGGTAAAAGAACAGTATTTACTATTCAGGTTTGCAAGTAATATTGTGAAAGATTCTTGTAATCATCAATGAACAGTATGTGCATTTATATAACTTCTTCAGAGTTCCCTAAACAAAACCTTCAATTCCAGTTGGGCGATAGAGAAAAATAATGAAAAGTGAGCCACATTTTTTTGTTCTGTTAAGTTCGTGGCCCCTGCAAACAACTATTCCAAAAGTTAAGAGAATAACTTTATTTAAGATATATGATAAAAGATAAAGAAAAAAAAAATGAGAGCTCTATGAAAATAAAAAAGGAAATTGAGTTAACCCGTCCTTAATTATAAACATATGACTTTAGCCATATTGTCCCGAGTAAAGACAAAAATAGTAGTTTAAAGAGGAATCAAATTTAGAAGATTCCAGAGCAGAATCCTGCAGTGCAAATGACTTAAATATGTGTGCAAACTTCCAATAACTTTACTTATTTGGCAATGCCTTGTGCAACTTGCAAGGTTGTTTTGGCTCATTCCAAAAGCAGAAATAAGGACCAGAAAAATTCTTGAGGACCATTCGGGAAAACCTAACAGTTGCTGTAATCTTTAATATTCCACAATAGTCATTCGGTCCCAACGCAATTAATATCATAACAAATTCACAGATGCTGAAATTGGCACTTTCAACTTACACTTGTCTGCATCTCTTTTTGTCCTGTGTAGGTCATGTTCTTTGCATATTCCATTGGATATTCTTAGATCCTCCTTAATGCTACAACTATAATCCATTAATTCTAAACTCAGTCCAACTGAACAAACCAAAGCAATGTAGGTGCCTAGGTGGACCACTGAAATAACGCATCACCAAAACAAATACAATGTTGTGATTAAGAATATACCCAATGTGTAAGGAGTATGACTCGGTCAGACAAGTAACTTTTAATTAGTCACAATCTTAAGAAGTAACAATTTAAACATTGAGCATCCTTCCAAATTTAAAATTTAAAATTTAAAATTTCAGTTCACCTTCTGTGCAAGGAGATAACTTGTTAGCCAGCTAATAGGGTGGGGTGGACTTATTTAACATCAAAACTGTCACTTTCTGTGTATTTTACCTCTGATTTGAATCCCATATAACAGGAATAAAGAACATTTTAGTACAAAAAAACGTCAGAAGGAAATATCAAAGGGTTTTCTTTTCTACAGCAACTTGGTAACAAAACTTGTGCAACATATTAAAACTTAATAACCAGGAGAAGTAGAGGTGTGTGTGGATGAGGATGAAGTAGGGGAATTTGAATGAAGAGCTCCTTCACTGTGATGAGCCCTTTCATCTGAATTTGAATGCTCAAAATGCTTCAATTTCTTAAACTGTGACCTCTTAGTTGAATCAGCTGATGGTTGTGAAACAGGTGTAGGATGTGTGGCCACTGGTGCATAAATTCCAGCAGGTGCTGCAACTGTGCTCACTTCTCTTGATGCTGTTGAGGTAGTTACAGCTGCATATTCTGGTGACTGAACAAAAATGTTCCCTACAAGGACAAAAGGCGCTGCTTGTGGATTGGAACTGTTGTGAACCAAGGGACTTGGCCTTCTAGTGTGCAAACGGTATTTCTATCCAAAACACAAAAAGAAAAATTTAGACTATGATTCAGAACATGGAACATTTGGAACTCAAGAATATTTCCTATAATTTCTGCAACAACAAAAAGCTTATTTAGTTTGGAATCCCTTATAACTGGAGAGAAGGGGTTCAGGAAACAAGAAAAAACAGTTAATGATTCCAGATGATGGAAAGAACTGGGGATTACAATAGCAAATACCCCGACTATGATTATACTAGCTTAAGCTAAATTTGATAGCCAATCGTTTGGGCATTGGAATATGTACAACATATATATACCTAACATACCTGTAGATGGCTTTTGACTTCATCATTTGTGAGGCCATCAACATTCATTTGCTCTCTGATTTGTTTTGGTGTGGCAGCTGCAGAAGACACGAAAATATGCAATTATAGTAACATCCCAAACACACGACATAACAATCAAAACTGATTAAGATACTCACAATCTGCACCCCCAAGTTGCTGAAGGGCATGCAAGAAGCGCTTATGCAAGTCCTGAGACCAACACCTGCGCTGCTTTCTCTGTCCATCATTCAGATTTTTTTCTGGGGTGACTTCACCGGCGCTAGAACTCGTCGCAGCTACCCGGGTTGAACAGGGTGCTTTACTCAATGATTCAGTTGCCTTTGCAGGTCTTTCTTCCTTGTGGAATGGCTGGAAAGCACCACCACCACTTCCACTTCTCTTCAATTCCATCCCAGACACTTTCCTAGTCACATCCTGAACAATTCGCCAAAGGAAATTGCAAACACACAAAAAAGAAAAATAGTCAATTAAATTAATCTCGTCTACACGAAGCACAAAACTCACTCAAACAATGGCAAATTCACAATTAAGCTTTGGTTTTCTCTTACCTCCTCAGCTGGGGGATCTGGATTCCATAACTGAACAGATCTAAGCCAGTCGGATTTCCTCTTATCACTGTTCTTATTATTCTCATTCGAAACCCTTTGCAAATGATGTTCATCGTCTTCATCATCTTCATCGCAACAAGGGGAGGATGACGATGCCCTTTTCTTGATCGGAATGAACTCCTCCAAAACTGGTACCTCGGATGATGTTGTCCGCTCCGAACACTCCGATTGACCATTCAAATTATACTCGGTCGTGGTGCCAGACAACTGCTGTTTGCAAGCTTCGATGGCTGCAAACACAACAAAAACATCAAAACCCAGAGACCAAAAACCCCTCAGAAAACAAACCCAGAAAAGAAAGTAGGAAACTTTATAATCTTCACGTAGAAGCAACAAAAGGGTACGGTTTGTTTTGTTTGTTGATTACCTTGGGCAACCAGTTCCAAGGAAAGAGGAAGCTCTTTGCAGAACACCTGAATCTTACGGCGTTCTTCTTCCAATGCTTGGATGTAGTCAGGGAACCCCATCTTTGAACGCTGCATTTTCTCAGTGAAGAAATACATTTATGGAAGCCAAGGTGGTGGCGTAGAGAAGAAAATCAGAAAGAAGAAGAGGGAGAAGAGATATAGAAGGAAATGGCGTTTTGTGGAAGCAGAGAGGAACGAAGAGAGAGAGCTTCTCATTGAAGAATATGGGATCTTAGAATCAAATTTTGGAATAATAAATAAACTTGTAAACCAAGCAAGAAAAACAATTGAAAAAAAGAAAAAAAGAAAATTCCCATCAAAGAGGGAAGAGAGAGACCGATCGAGAAAACGAGACATTGAATTGAAACCAACGGCTCGGGAAAATATCGCCGTCGGGCCGTCGCATACAGAATCTTTGATGCATTTTATATTCTTTTTTTCATTTGTTTTGGTCTCCTCGGGAGACAGATAAGTTTTATTTTTATTTCGAGAAAATAAAACTGCTGGGTAATAAAAAATTAATATACATATATATATATATATATATATATATATATATATATAAATATATATAAACTTTAAGACACACCCTAAATATTTTAGATTATAATCCTTAATTTTGACTTAATCCTACTATTTTTAATTCATTATTTAACATACCCATTTAAAATTAATTTTCAATAATTAAAAATGCATTATATTAAAATATAATGGTTAATTATTTTCAATAAAAAAATCTAATTACTTAAAATTGACTCTTAAAAAACTAAGATTAATATTAATAATAATTAATAATCTCTTCCGATAAGAGAGAGTGGTATGTTATAGGCATTTTAATCGTGCGCTAGCAATTGTTACTCTTTTGGGTCTTTTCTGTCTGTCTATTCATCAATCACTATTCTAGTTTAAGGATAAGATTAATAACTCTCCTCAATAATCCTTTATTTTTTTTCTCTTTCAATTCTAATACTACATCCATTATCCTATGAAAAAGTAAGTTTCTGTCAGAATATATTACTCTTTAATATCTATATATCCAATCATATATATAACACATGTTACTTGAGATATTAATGCATGTAAATTATCAAATTACATGCTTATTAACATTAAACTAAATTGACTTTACTTATCAGAATAAAGGTAAACGAGTGAGTAAAAGTTAAATATAAACAAAAAATGAAAGAAGTAATTTTACCCTAACAGGTATGAAGATTGTAAAGTATTAATAAAGAATTTAAGAAAAAAAAAATTATGTTGAGAAAGAAGAAAAATGTTATTAAGTCCATTGGGTGGAAAGAGAAGGGTGGGTGGGAGTTATTAAAATTGGCTTTTGATGCACCTGAATGGACAAGCTTACTTAGTTATTAGTCAATCCTTAATTTGTATTTCTTGAATGTTGTATTGTTTTATACACACACTACACACCTCATTCATTCTATCTCTATCTCTATCTCTATCTCTATCCCTATCCCTATCTGGTGCACCACTATATGACTTTTTTTAAATATTTAGGAATCATCTTAATCACTTCACATTACTTTTTTTTTCCCTCTTAAAATATATGTCTAATCCATTCAATACATATTTCATTGAGAAGAGGATAGTCTGAGATAAAATCTATCCATTGTCTTTTGCTAGAGAGAGAAAATAAATCTAAAAATAATATTTCTTACATCTACATTTTATTTTTCAAATCTCAATTTTGTGTTTAATAAATCTTTTATCCTACAAAATATATAGTGTTTTAGAAATATTTTTATGACAAGGAATAAAAGTTATACATAAAGACTATTATTATATCGTATACAAATAATTTATAATGTAAATAATTTTTTAAATTGTTGCAAAGCTGTTAACTGTTAATTATAATATTCATGTACAATTGGTGTTACGTAACTTGTTCATCCTTAAAAAAACTACATATAAATTACTTGAATATGAATAAAATTATGAGATTATTTGATATTTTTGTATATAAGATATCGAAATAAATATATTAAATTAAGAGGATGGAAGATGTTAGTTGCTTGTATAGATTTGGAGAGACACTTGAGTGGTGTTTTATCATTATGTTTCCGTGGAATTCTTTTGGACGCAGAATATTAACATGTTTATCTTTAATGGGTCTATCATTATTGTTAAAAGGATTGGAATAGGCCCATTAGTATATTTTCTGGGGGCCCATAATAGTGTACTCTACTTTGGTCCCTACTCTTTGTGTTCTTTAGATAGGTCAGCCTTCGTAACATGTAACCCATTTGGACACGGCCTTTAAAACCTTCTACTTCTATATATATAGTATCATAAACTATAAAGTTTTTGCACAATTTTATTCCATTTGTTTTTTTCTAGTTGTGGAGTTAGAGAAAATTTTCACTAAATTTTGCCAACTTTAATTTATATTCAATTTTTGGATAAGATCATTTCAATTGATTTCACATGTAATAAAGTTCTATAGTCATGAATGTTTTATTGATATACTTACGATATAATTTAAAAGAAATTATATTCATATTACCTATGACTCACTCTATGAGATAATGTTAATCCTATCTATTTATTTATTTATTATTATTATTATAAAAAATAATGGTTTAGATATTATGTATTGAAAATATCATAAAAATCATTTTATCACTAAATTATTAATTGTTTGATAAAAATATATTTTTAGATATCACAAATAAATAAATAACTAAAAATGTATAATTAAATTTATTAATATATTATTACATGACTTTAAAATAAATATAAAATTAACAAAAAAATAAATATATTTTAACTGTATTAATAATATAAGGAAAGTGAATATTGGAGTTGGGTGTCATTTCTTTTGATTCACCAACTCATCGAATAAATATTAATCTCGTTTATAATACTGTAACTATATTGGTTGGGTCAGTTTTCTCACGAGAGGGATTGAACACGAATTCTTGCTATATGAACATCCCATCAATGTGTAAACATCATTTGAGAGATCTTAGGAAATACGAGAGGGTGAATATTTATTTAAAAATTAAAGGAGTTATAAGCACATGCAATTTACCCTATAATTCTCTATAATGCAATTAGGTATAATGCAACTAAATATTATAATTACTTAAATAATTTGACCATATATACAAATAGTTACTATATTCAAAGTATATTATTTTTAAAAGTTTCTGTTATGCTTACATAAGTAAAGATGGATTGATGTGAAAACTGAGAGAAAGAAAGGTTGTATAATGAAGAAGATCGATTGAAAAATAGTTGGAGAGGGCAATGTGAAGTGAGGCAGTGACAGATGAATGATGATGGAAGTGCAGGAGAGTAGGGTTAGTGGAATTAAGTTAATAGAGTTTGTGGTACGAAAAGAACAAAATGGCAAACTTATCTTCGGCTTTCTCACATTGAAGTCTGGCATAAACCAAACTCACAAAGCATACTCATGCACCACCTACAGTGCCTCTGTCTGTACTTCCTTGGCCCATCCCATTCATTCCATGCATCTGTTCACTTTCAACGCCTGCAATGGCTTTAAGGCATTCATCTTCCTTCATCTACTAACCCCTGAAACTGCTTCATATGCTTTCATCTAATTCATAACATCCATATATACCACTTAATCTGAATAATACTAAGAACTATGGTAGAGGATAAGTCTACGTTGATCACCCAAATGGTAGTATGTATTGTGGAGTTGTAAACTAGAATTTGAGGGTATAGTGATGTTGTAATTTATTGTTACTTTATAGATTTTATTACTGCATATTTTTTATGAGCGATACATTGCAATAAAAAAAGAACAAGAAAGTCAAAATTGATATTGGTCTTTTAGAAGCCAAGTTCAATAAAATTGAAGTCACCTTACTTCACAAATTGCTAACGTTGAAAATCTTCAGAATAACGTGTATGACCTGATATGTGTGTTTGTGTGAATAACATTGTTTTCAAGTAAAGATGGAAAAATAAATTTGGCAAAAAAATTAGGGATGTTAGTTAAGTAAAACTTTACAAGAAACAAATAAAAACATCGTGAAGACAAAAGGATAATTGATTCTACTTCTAAATCACTTTTTACATGAACTGGTTTTTACTTCAGTCATTATAAATTAACGTGAGTTTATTGTCTTCCCCGCAAGAATAGTATGTCTCACAATTTATACTCAAAGAAAACAAGAATTTTTTTTTTCTATGAAGTAAATCAATTTAACCCTTGTGAAAGAGTGAGGTGTTGAGCAGTCTACATTGGAAAAACTTTGTTATCCATATCTGTTTCTTCTTCTGATCAAACTAGACTCCGGGAAAGTAGAAGAATAACCTAGAGCCTACAAGATATCAATGTCTAGGCATGCAGTGGGTACACTGAAACTAGCTAAGATCAACCAAATTGGAAGTTCCACCTGACCCTTTCGCCACCTTTTTTAGTTGGTGGATCACCCCTGAATTAATGAACCCTATGTCAATTCTCCATTGATGAGATGGTTGAACAGTTACTCAAAGATTCCAAGTTTTAGGGCTATGTCCAATCAAACACATGTCCCTACCACCCTTTATTTTCAGCCCATTAATGCTGCACCCTTTCATTTTTGTCCACCTTGGAAGCATAAGCATGGAAGGGAGGAACGTACTACACTGTTCACGAGATGCCTCAAGTTATGACCTCACTAATTGGCACCACAACAATCGCCCCATATATCTGACCTTTCTGCCCCACATTCACAATTTCATCATTTCAAATTATGTATACTGACGCCATGCATGCAGTTATACACATAAAATTTCCTTTATAGCCATATACATTGTATGCTTTTGCTTCTCTATTTTTCCAAGTCCAGTGCAATTACAAAACCGCTAAAGTCAGTACAGTAGTTAAGAGGTTTTGAATAACATATATAAAGTTTTTAATATAGTGCGTCCATTATACAAAAATAATAATCATAAGTTAATTACTTACATGTAATTGATTATGATCACGATGTATATGCTGGTATTAAAGTGGAAGTGGTGTATACGCAAAACCCAGACGTACACATGCAGAAGGGATTGATACTGTGGAGGAATTGGAATGGTTAAAGTTGGAAGACATGGAGTTTCATTACATGCAGTAC